GGTAGTGTAGATGCAAGTTTGTTCAAATCATCACCCCAAGGGGTAGGGTGGGGCCACAATGGGCGATCAACGTTTTACATAACAATACTGATACATAGGAAAGATCTTTAAAATTCTTCTCGACACCAATATCATCAAAATTGGTCATAATGATATAAAAGCATCCTGAAGTAATGTAGATTCAATTTATTCAAATCATGACCCCCCCCCCCCTCCCCAGGAGAATAAAGGGGCCATAACAGTGGATCATAGTTATACAGTAAAACTTGTTTAGTATGAACAGGGATATTGCGAATTCACAGACATTGCGAAGTTTTCTTGGATCCGCAGCTAGATAAATTTTACTAATTCTTTATACGGATATAACGAATTACGGATATAGCAAAGTAATTTCACAAGTCCCAGTGACTTCGTTATAACCGAGTTTTACTGTACAAAGGAAGAAAAAGGATATATCAATAAAAATTTTCTTCTTCAGAACAGCAATGCTAATACGTGTCATATTAATTCAAAAGCATCCTTAGAAAGTGTAGAATTCATACCCTCACCCACCCACTTTCATATTAAAACATTTTAATACTGAACTTATTTGTGCTTTTACCTACCCAAAGTGCTCAGGTGAGCAATGTGGCGCCTAGGACTCTTGTTTATTGTTGGTCTTATAAGTGAAATCAGAATGCAATAGTAAATGTACATAATATATTCTTTCAGAGAGAAGAAAACTGACATTAAAGGAGAACCAGTAACTAAAGATGTTGAATGGAGATGGGATCATGTAGTAAGTGGTAATTAATTCAATCATAAATAGGCATGTATGACAATTGCATTAAAAGAAAAGAATTTGATTCCAATTTTAATTGGAATGTTGAACTACCAGCTGCAAACTACAACAGGTTAGGCATAATAAAAAAATATGTTTGTTTATGGTTACCCGACCGACCCTATATCTAATAGCCAACCCAAATTTTTTTTTCCTCGTAAAAATCCACAAGTCACTCATTCAACGGTTTAACGTTTACATGCATCTTAATCGGTTACGCGTTTGAATCGAAAGTACTAGAAGTAGTTAGTGCAACATGGAATTAAAGAAGAAATACAAGACAGTTTTTTGTTGCATTTTGTGGTACATGTAGCTGTAAGGCAGTTGGCAAGAAAGATATTGTCTATCGCCTATATGGCAAACCCAAACAAAAGTAAAGCACCACACAATGGTAAAACTGTTTAGTATTTCAACAAATTCATGTGAATTTGTGTATAAAAAAATTCAAAAAATACAGAAAAAAACCCTACCTACCGACCCTATTTTATTTCAGCATGTAACAGTAAACAAACATATTTTTTGTTTGGCCTTATGAAATAGTATGGCTTGGAGTCTTTTTCACTTCTCTATAAAATTTTCTGTCTGGATGATATCTAGCATAATATACACCATGCAGTGAGAATTTTAGTTCACCCGAGCTAAAAACTCAAGTGAACTTTTCTGATCTCCTTTTGTTTTGTCTTTTGTCCATCAAACTGTCTATCCATCTGTGAACTTTTCACATTTTCAACTTCTTCTCAAGAACCACTAATTTTAACCAAGGTTGACACAAAGTAAGGATGTTTTAAATTGTACAGAGGAAGCCCCCCCCCCTTCACCCCAAGGGGAAATGATCAACTCTTTTTAGATATTATTGATATGATCATTGTTGAGCAACTTATAATTTTGTAACCTGTAGACTTTATTTTAAGAATAATGAATATTTGTTTAAGAGTCCTTTTGTCAAGGTTCAAAGTTCAATGAAAATTAGTTTGAGATACATGTATTTGAGGACTCGAGATATCAGGAGTAAAATATTTAAAGAATGCTTCCAAATTACTTCCACATATCTATGGTGTTCGAGATGCCAAAGTTCAACTGTATGGCTATGCTAAAGTAGTAAATATTATAACTTAATAAAACTTTCTAACATTAAAACATGTTATATAAAACAAGACAATAATGAAAAATAAAAATTTACTGATTTCTGGCTGGTCAATATTTTGATGACTGTAATTTCTAAAATATTCAATGAAACACTTTGAAGCTTTAACTGTAGGTATATGTTAACTAAATATACTATAAGGTAATATTTATAAATGAGAAGTTTTGAACAAACATTACAACATGCATGTATGTAAATTGGGTGTAAAAATTGTTTAATGGCTATCGCCTTAATTTTCAGTGACATAAAACAAGATTTAGAATGTAGGTAAATAATGCTAGTATGTGTCTGTACATATGATATAGCATATAGAACTTGTACAGAATGTTGATTAGCTAAATCTTGAATGACTGATACGTTGGTAGTTTTTTATGAAAATTAGATAATTTGCATGTAAACTGAGTGTACATGCAATATGAATTTATTCATAAGGTATTAAATATGATTAAAGCATGTGTATGCAATGCAACATATGATGAATTCATATTGACTTGTATGGATATAGCTTAACATGTATGTGCATTGTTTTTTTAGGGTCCTGTTCTGCTGATGCCATGAGATGATCTGTCTTTCCATCTGATATAACTTGTCCTGAGTATATTTTCTCTCCTCTTAGCCCAATCTCACTCAAATTTAACTCATAGAGTGCCTGTGGATGGAGGGTAAAAAGTGACCTTGGACCAATTATCTAGGTCAAAGGTCAGTATCAAAATACACTATGTATCTTTATTTAAAGTCCTTGTCCAGAGCATAATTTTTCTTCCTTGCTATGATCTGGCTTGTGTGCCATGAGATGAAGGGTTTTTAGTGATCTTTAACAAAATTTCTAGTTCAAATGTCAATTAATAAAAAAAAAAGATTCGTAATATCCTTGTCCAGAGCACATTTCTCTCCAATTCACTCAACTAAAAGCAGTGTTCTACATGTATGAGATGGTCATATTCTCAATCATACCTGCTCAGTCTTCGCCAAATCTTTTTTTTTAGTACATGCCCTTTGGGCAGGTTTAACCACTTATTATGCTAGCCCGAACAAATATTTACATGCCCAGAATTTTATCAAGTAATTTTATTCTTGTTCGACTTTTCATGCCAAGGAAATGATCCGAAATCCATTTTTATCGATCTATTGTCTCGCCATTAATATTGTTTTCAAACTGTACACTTTTTGTGTTTCCTTTGCAAAAGAGTTCCTCGGAAGTCACATATTATTTTCAACGTGTATACTTTTTGTGTCTCCTTTGCAAAAGAGTTCCTTGGAAATCGCGGTAGAATAAACTATCGTTAAAATTTTATTTGGTGCTCAACTTTACATGAAAAATCAGACTTTTAAGTACATTTTATGTTATTAGTATTATTCAATTTGATAATACGGAGGCTTAGGCCTCAGAATTTACATGCCCTTCGGGCTTGTAAGTATGCAATTTCCACATGCCCCCTTCCAATTTTACCAGGTCCCGGGCTTCGGACTCCCGGGATTTGTGGAAGACTGCCTGCTTTGATATTAATCTGGCTTAAAACCTTACTATGTAATGTTCATTATTCGGATTTCATGATCATTAAATTTAAAGACTGAAACTAATAACTGATATTGGTACATTAAAGGACTTTGAGTGATCTTGTCAGATTTCTAAATAATATTCAAGCATACAATTCTTACATCAAATAATAATTTTATATGAAAATATATTGCAGATTGCAGATGATGTGAAGAAAATACAAAGGAAGCTGATGTTGAAAGAAGTATAGAGTATTTAATGAAGTTTATGAATGACTTAGATGTGAAAGACTACTTCATTGTTTACCCAAGATATATGATTTTATTTATTTTGATATCATTTTCAAATAATGTTTTTGCACATCAAAAGAATTATTAAACGTATGATTTGATAATGCTTTTTCCTTTTTATACATTTTCTTGATAGATTTTGAAAAGAAAACACAGTTTACCAAGGAAATTAATAATATATATTCTGATTTAAACCTGCTGTTCTCTTTTCACATTCTAGACAAGAAAGATTTACCATGGAAAATACAGGGTTCCTTGAGCTTCCAGTTGCTTGTCAATCATTTTTCGAAATTGAAATGCTCATCGTACCCTGTAGTTTCCATGGTATGGAAACTATTACATCACAATTACACATTGCTTCCCGTCTCAGAAAAATAAGGGAATCTTGAAGTTTCCCTGTAATTTCCTTCTATGAGACACCATATAATTCCACCAAGTTTCCATCACATGGAAACCGCTACGCTCCGATTCCATGTAGTTTCCTGAGTCATGGAAACTTGAGGAATCACGACGTTTCCTCTAGTTTCCGTTCATGGGAAATCTGAAGATTCCATCAAGTTTCCATTCCATGGAAACCACTACGCTCCGATTCTACATAGTTTCCTAATTATGGAAACCAGTGGAATCTTCAGGTTTCCCATTTCGGGAAACTACATGGAGGCTAGGGAAACTTCAGGTTTCCTGAGGTTTCCGTGGTTCGGGATACCTAATGGAATCTGAGCGTAGTAGTTTCCGTGGTACGGAAACTTGACGGAATAACCTGGCATCCGCTGTGGAAACCACTAGGAAACATGATGTAAACTTGAGGTTTCTATGTGGTTTCCATAGAGTTTCCCATGACGGGAAACTGCTTATTTCACCCAGTGGATGTGGCAGACTCTCTGTCGTCTTATATTTCAAGTTAACTGGGATATATCGCGTCGATATATGAATTGAAGTTACTATTGTTTATTGACAAGAGGTCGTCGATATATCTGAATGTTGAGTTGTAAGCCATGGCAAATGTTTTCGTCTTCTCAAGTAGAAGCATTTGAATAAAATCTGCTTCACATGAATTTAAAACCAGGTCAGCATATAAAGGAGAAAATCCAGCATGCCCTGTTGCCTTTGTCGAAAGATATGGCCCTGAGCCGTGTTTTTTTTATATTTTGTTATGATTTTGGATTACTGCCTAGGTACGAGATGATACTGTCTCTCAGAAACTTTTCTTCATCGCTGTTTAATTCATAACAAACTACTGCTTTGCAGAAAAAATTGAACGTGACTGTTTAATGACTGGTAGAGGTATAGACTATGCTGGAAGATTAAGTACAACCACATCTGGAAAAACATGTCTACCTTGGCAAGAGGGTTTGTATTTTTCTTTAAGTTAATTCAAAGTTGGTTGTTTTGGTTGGTCTTTAAGTTAATTCAAAGTTGGTTATCTTTCTTACGTTTTCTCGGAATCTGTTTCTTGAAAGAGTCGTAGACAGGGTAAACAGTTCAGTTTTTCTTGATTACTTTTTTTGTTGTCATAGTAAAAATGCAACGTTTAATGGTTATGAATATAGTTTCATAATAAAACACATTTAATGAGAAAGGAATGTTAATCAAAAGGAGAAAGAGAGGGTATCAGTCAAACGCCATTTACTGGCACTTGACAATGTGTGCATTGCGCGTCTTATGGCATCGCTGATTTTCAAATATACTGAAACTTCTCAGACTCTTGTCGCAGGAACCCATTGAAATTCGAGACTATGCCCTTTTCTTGATCGGATTTTAATTTCAGCCCATGGTAGGTGCCTTTTATTGTAAGAATTCAGCAGAGAATACGCAACGTTTAGCGTCTAATTTATTTGTCTATAACTTTCCTCACCCTCTGAAATTGATGATCATTACTGTATATCTTAGGCCTTTACACTTTCGGTGCTAAGGTGAAACTGTCATTGAATCTCTTATGCAATTTATAAACAACCTTTCTGTCTAGAGTGTTATGTCACTTATATATATTATCGGGGTGTCAGAAAGCAAATAAAATGCAATAATATCAAGCGTAATTTTCCCGGAATTTCCCTACAGACAATTTCGGTTCTCATCTAAAACGTCATAATATTACTTCTATGAAAAAAAAAATTATTCAATATTTATTATTTCAAGTGGCATTTAGTAAATGATAGTCATGCAAAGGTTGGTAAAAATTGTTTAAATGTTTACAAAGTAATAAAACTTGTTTACGACTTTTCGGAACAACCCTTTTATATGTGTTAACAGTAAAATAGGGACATCTTATTGGTTAAAATTAAAAAAAAAAAAGATTTAAAACATTTATATTTCCTGATTAAGTTTAAGTTTGTTTCAAAGAAATAGTTAATAACATAATTAATAGTGCCAAAATGACTTTGTTCCATTCCTTAAATATTTTACATTATTTTCCTATAATTACTGAAAGTTGTGTGATAAAAGATTGAATGTGTTAGAGCCATCCTGATTAAATTAAATGTTTGAAGAATAGTTATGTTTTGTTTTGTTTTTTTTAATTTTTTAAGGTTTAACTATACCATTTGCCAAGACCATAACTGAATAAAGATTTTAATAAAAAAATATATATTTTGAATACCTTTGATTTTATTCAACCAAACATGATAAAAACTTTGCATGTTTATATAATGTGCAAATGCAAATGCTTGGATGTGTTTTATTTTTGAAGATATTCTGATTAATCTAACAATAAAAATATTCGAATATTTTCAGAGTCAATGCGTGAAGATGCTAATTACTGTAGAAATCCGGATCTGTCTTCTAAGCCCTGGTGTTATGTAAAGGGAGAAACAGGGCCGATAAAGGAATACTGTGAAATAAAATCCTGTGGTAAAGTTTTATGACACAGAAAGTATAATATATGTAATTAAGTAACCGAATTATTCTATTTAAATGGCTTCATTATCTCCATTTATTACTTAAAGTCGGTACTCTATGTAACTATCAATAAGTTTTATAGTCAAAACCTAGGGATCGAAAAAAAAAACACGTCACATCCTGGTATCAACACATTTATTATATCTAATTATACAATTATATACATATATGTGATAACAATGATTTTTAGCTCACCTGAGCTGAAAGCTCAAGTGAGCTTTTCTGATCACATTTTGTCCGTCGTCCGTCTGTCTGTCCGTCCGTCTGTAAACTTTTCACATTTTTGACTTCTTCTCCAGAATCACTGAGCCAATTTCAACCAAACTTGCCATGAAGCATCCTTGGGTAAAGTGGATTCAAAGTTGTTCAAATGGAGGGCCACGTCCTCTTTCAAGGGGAGATAATTAGAAATTAGTGAAAAAATAATGGCATCATTTAAAAATCTTCTCAAGTACCACTGGGCCAGGAAAGATGAAACTTTTGTGGAAACATCCTCAGGTAGTGTAGATTCAAGTTTGTTCAAATCATGACCCCCGGAGGTTGGGTTGGGCCACAATCGGGGATCAAATTTTTACATAGAAATATATAGGAAAATATCTTTAAAAATCTTCTTCTTAATAACAGCAATGCCATGATTGGTCATATTTATATGGAAGCATCCTCAAGTAGTGTAGATTCAAGATTGTTCAAATCATAACCCCTGGGGGTAGGATGGGGCCACAATGGGGATAAAAGTTTTACATAGAAATATATAGGAAAATTTCTTTAAAAATCTTTTCTTAAGAACAGTAAAGCCACGATTTGTCATATTTATATGGAAGCATCCTCAGGTAGTGTAGATTCAAGTTTTGTTCAAATCATGACCCCGGGGGTAGGGTGGGGCCACAATGGGGGATCAAAGTTTTACAAATGAATATATGGGAAAATCTGCTGCTTAAGAATAGCAAAGCCATTTGTTACATTGACATGAAGGCATCATAAGGTAGTTTAAAATTCAACCCCCCCCCCTCCCCCGTCAACTGATTTTTGCTTTTTTTTCCTAGCCAATGTGCTCAGGTGAGCGATGTGGCCCATGGGCCTCTTGTTTTTGTATTGCAGCTGATTCACCCTGTTTTCCCAATCCTTGTAAAAACGGGGGTCAATGTGAGGTGAACGGAACAAAATTCAGTTGTACATGTCTGGAGGGGTTCAAGGGAGATAACTGTGAAACACAGGGTAAAATCCTTCCCATTCCATTTGTTTTCAGCAAATACATAGAGTAAAGAACTTAAGATAATTAAATTATGGTTCTATATGTAATACGCTATTTATTTTTCCCAAAAATATAGTTTGTTTCGTTACGGCACTACCTGTATTGCTAGTCACATTTCCACTTGCGTCAAAAACGTATCAGTATGAAACTTAATGTCATTTTCCTTGATCTTTGCGTTGATATTGTCTTTTTATTTACACATAAGGATAGAAAATAAAATTTTTAGTAAAAATTTAATAGCAATCCGTTAAATGCAAAGAGCGTATTAAACTAACGTAAACAGACAAACTAGATTATACATGAACTGTAAAACTTGGCAAGCTACTCAATTCCTGAACTGCATTTAAACGAAGTCTCTTCAATTAAAAAACGTAAAATCACTTTATGTATTGGGACCATGTAAATTGACGTCCGTGACTGTAGGTGCTAGATGGAAAACCCAAACTGTCCCTTGGTCAGAATACAAGTGCAAGTTTAAATTTGCGGTCTTCTTAGAGAAATATTTGGATTTAGAACATGGGTGATTTTTTTCCAAAGGACATGAAGCAGTCTAACAAAATAATCGCTAATTTATCTATATCAAAGATTCCTATTGACTATTTGTCCAAAAAGAGAAAAAAAAATATGATAATCAGATAAATAAAACAAATATATCAAATTTAAAATAAAAATAAAATTATCAATCTGTTTGTTTCACGATAAATCCATGTATACAAAACTAGAGGTACTATGCCGGCGAGCACTTTTTGATAAAAGAACACCCCCCCCCCCCCCCCCGCTCCAATACGAGTATTATTGCAAAGTCCATATTTCCTATGGAAAGCCTTTATATCTGTCCGATCAAATAAAAAATACGAGGTGTACATGTGCAATAATAAAAATTCTCGGAAAGTTTTATTAAACTTTATTCCGTAGTATACGAGAAGTTACGAATAACTTTAATAAGAAATGAGTTCACACGGTGTATGTGACAGACATCCCAATCACTATACACCCCATTTTTCAAGCCCGGGGGGTTCAAGCCGGGGGGGGGGCTAAGGCAATCTTCAGAAAAGGGTTTGTTTGCCCTCTCTCGACTGACTGGCTCAAAATGGCCCGACTCAAAAGATTTTTTTTCAAACATCCAAGAAACGATATTTTTCTTTTTATTCATTACGGAATTTTATCATTCCGTCAATATCTATTTTAATTTTGTTAATATCTTTAATTTTGATAGATTTTGAAAGTTCAGCATTGATGTTGAAAATTTCTGGGGGGGGGGGGGGATTTCCCAAATATCTTTTCGACCTTTTTCTTATCCTGAGTCGGGAGATAAGGAGATTCATACATGCACAATATTTTTTATATAATAAATGGAACTATCATTTATAAATAATTTTTTTTTTATTTTTCATCACTGTTATCTAACTGAAAATATTTTAAACTTTGAAAAAAAGTTCTAAAGTAAAGTTTTTATAGTAAATCCAAGTATTTTCATAGCTTACTATAGTTAACTGTAGTTAACTATAATTAATTTTTGTTGGGGTTCAAACAATAATGAACTTGATTATTCAAATTAAATTATGTGAAGTAAACAACTTGCTCGCCCTTGTAATTTGTATGAAAAAAGTTCACTGAATAGTGATAGCCTTTATCATATGTAAGAGAAGAGTACGTAGCCTTTTAAAAATCGCATAAGTACTATTAATTATCTTTATGGTTTCAATCTTAACAGATTTACATTTCCATGAAATACACGGAAATATATATATGTACTCAATATGTAGCTTTCCTTAGTAAAACATGTATATCACATTTTTACACTGTAATAGTTCTGAAAGATGAATTAAGTAAATAGTCTTTCTAAAACGTCAGAATTGCAAGAAGAAGCGGATTGCAAACGGACAAAAATTGGATGGGAATACCAAGGCAATATTAACGTTACAAAATCTGGGAGAAAATGTCAAGCGTGGGGATCCAATTTCCCCCACACGTCCCGATACACTGACCTGCCTGTAAACTACTGCAGGAATCCAGGCATAGATGACGCTCCCTGGTGCTACACCACAGACCCAGAAAAGATATGGGAGTACTGTGATATTCCAGATTGTGGTAAATCAAGGATATTCAATGTTTTGTGGTTGGATATGGAATTTATTTCACGAGCGGGGCAAGATTTTTTTGATATTTTCACGAGTGCAAGGCAAGATTGAAAATATCACAAATTCTCTCTACGGAGTGAAATAAATTTTATATCCAACTAAAAAATATTGGTTTTTTTGCTTATTACATTTTCTTTGACTTTCCCTTCGCCTCTGGCTTTTCGTTACATTGTGTCATAGGCTTTGACGTAATAGTAGAGCGGTTGAGGCGTCATAGCTTTGCATTTGTTAGATTGAAAACATTTTAAACATTGCATCTCAACAACATTTTGTCATTTAGTGTCTGTCAGGATGATTTACATACTCTCTCTGTATTATTACAGGCCAGTGAGTGCTTTTTTCAACATTCCTCTTGAAGGGAAAGAAAATCGAGTGTTTTTCCGCACTTCTGAAATATTGTCACACTGTGTCAGATTATCATTGTTGCATTTTTTCACACTGCGACAGAGTATCGTATATATAAATATTTAAATATATTTTTGAATTTTTACATGATGCTTTAAGAGGTATCGTTCCTTGAAATGTGTTATTTGATTTTTTTATTAATCAAAATGTGCGTTTTCAGTCATTAATTTAAAGAGACATACTTTTTACACAGCTACTACTGCTCTAGAATGTCTAATAAATTCGGACCCAAAAGGAAGGCTGTATTTCGGTACACACAATGTCGCTAATACCGGAGACCTGTGTCAAGCATGGGGGAGCCAGTCCCCAAACACACACAGATACACTTACCTCAGTGACCAATCAAACTACTGCAGGAACCCAGATGGAGAGCCTGCCCCCTGGTGTTACACCGTCAACCCCAAAGTTCGTTGGAGCATTTGCATTATTCCTCACTGCTAAAGTTCAGCAGTGATATTCCTTGAAACTTAATTACTATAAACTTGGATATTCACGCTTATTCAATTTCTATTTTGATTACTTACTGTTTATTTATATGCTTTTAATAACAATGATAATTCATCAGTTCGAAAACTTTAGGAATTTCGTGTTGGTTAATAATATTGCTCTTTTTGTGTTTGTTTTTTTATGTTCTTCATTATGCATGTTGTTTATTGATAATAAAAGATAACTCTTTTCTTATATATGTACAAGTAAAAATTCATATAGAAAGAATCTATCATTATAGCCTCTTTTCAATTTTTTAAATGTTGTAAACTGCACACGTAAGATATAATGAAGGGTTATTTGTATGCTCGGAGATCAAAGTTAGGGGGCATATGTTTTTTTGTTCCGTCTGACTGTCCGTATTTCCGTATATTAATTAATTTTTTAATAACTTTTTTTATATGACAGAGATTTAGATATATCTGAGAACATATATATATTTCAACGAATCTTAATAAATGGATTGGGATTGGTATTTTGAATATTTTGGAAAGACATTCTATAAATAGTTAATCAAATTGTTAGATTATTTCACATAGCAAAAATTTTAATTACAAGTAGTTGACGTTCTTCTCATTTACATTACCATTCATCTCCTTATTGTAAATTTGTTGTTCAGTGTATGTTGAAACGTTGAACATCAATCTTCAAGTAAATACATTGCATTTTCTGTGCACTTTAAATATTATTTCTGAAAGTGGCGGAGTGGCTACAATTAGTTGAAAATGACAATTTTTGTGAATTATTTAAGGAATGTTTTTAAGTTTTGTGTGAGTTATTGGTGTGTAAATCACAAAGACTTGTCACGTAGGCATATTTTATGAAGCGTGTTAGCGTGTGTGTGATTTACACAACAATAATTCACAATAAACATAAAAACATTCCTTATATTTACATTATTTACATGTTTAATGCACCAAAAATATACTCAATATCTGAATTTCTTGCTACCCTATATTATATATTCGAATTTTTTTCTCTTTATTTCATAAAATTAAAGTAGCGAATTCTTTATAACATTTGTTTTAATTACTAATATGCTCGTTAATAAGCATATCTCATTAAGTCGGAAACCTAGTCCCTTGCTCACAATTTTTTTTTAAAGTTTTCTTAAAACAAAAAAAAAGTAATGGTGCCTTGGGGTGAAGGTACTTAAATTTAAAATCGTTGTTTTAAAATATGCCATTACACTTGGCAAGGTAATCGAATGGTGTTTGTGATATTCATATCTCGGTTTGAAATATTGTATTCATATACTGATAATATATATGTAATTATATTTCATAATTTTCTGTCTTACCTTTAATAGGGACTAAGACACATATTTGAAGTTATTAGCCTTCAATTTCATACCTTGCATAATACCAGAGCTTTGTAGACAGACTGATCACTCAAAAAAAAAATTAAGAGAAGTTCTGCCTTAGGGCATATTGGCTTTGTCGAATGTACAAGTACGTGATTGTGATTTTTTAAAGTTCTTCAATATTACAGTTACAGTAAATCAGTCTTTATAATACCTATCTTCATAATTTAAGTTTACCAATGACAGTACTCGTACTTGAAGATATGAAGAAAAAAAGAGAAGGAAGTTTTATTTATATAACACACATGCATGTACACCTTTTAAAAATAACATTCAATAGAGGGGAAAAACGAGAGGCCCGTGGGCCACAACGCCTACCTGAGTCAATATGGCCTTGCTGTTTATCAGCAGATTTTTTCTATATATTCATATGTAAAGCTATGATCGCCTGCTCTAGCCACATCCTATCCCAAGTGCCATGTTTTGAATGAAATTGAATCTACACTATCTGAGGATGCTTCTGTATTCATATGAATAATCATGGCTTTTCTGTTCTTGAAAACAGAATTTTAAAGATGTCCAGTCCTCCACCAAGAGGGGTTTCCATATCACTATGACAAATCATGGTTTTCTTGCTCTGAAAAAGATATTTAAAGATTCTTCCTAAATATTCCTATGTAAAACCTTGATCCCCCATTGTGGCCCCACCCTACTCCCGGGGGTCATAATTTGAATTAACTTGAATCTCCACATCAATATGACTAATTGTGGCTTTGTTGTTCTAGAGAAAAAGATTTTTAAAGAATTTCCTACATATTCCTATAAAAAACCTTGATGCACCACTGTGGCCCCACCCTACCCCCCGGGGGTCATGATTTGAACAAACTTGAATTTACACCACATGAGGATGATTCCATATCAATATGACTAATTGTGGCTTGGTTCTTCTTGAGAAGATTTCAAAAAGTTTTTTCATATATATTCCTCTGTAAAACTTTGATCCCCTTCTGAGGTCCCACCTTTCCCCCGGGGGTCATGATTTGAAAAAAAAAAAATCTACACTATGTAAAGAAGGTTTCATATGTTTCAATTTTTGTGGCCCAAGGGCTCTTGAAAAGATTTTTTTAAAGATGACACCAAAATTTCCCAGTTCTTAATTATCTCCCCTTGAAGAGGAAGTGGTCCATCATTTTAACAAACTTCAATCTCCTTCATCTAAGGATGTTTCTGGCAAGTTTAGTCGAAATTGGCCCTGTGGTTCTTGAGAAGAAGTCGAAAATGTGACAAGTTTACAGACGGACGCCAGGCAAGATGTGATCAGGAAAGCTAGGTGAGCTAAAAAGCAATAGAAGTACTGAAAAGTATTTCAGTTTCCAAAATCTGAAGAAATGTATTTGATCACCACAAGATCACATGGTTAAAAACTTGATTTTCAAATTAGATCATTAAGGTAAGAAGGAGTGATACGGACATGTGAGTTATCAAACTGGTTTCATTGGCGTGATATGTATCAAAAATACGCAGGCAATCTTCAGATTGTGAGTTTTCTATGTTTTGGTCCTCATCTGTTTAGTAAAAAGAAAAAAATAACATAACAGGTACAGTTTACGTTTAAAAAAGAAAGAAGCAAATATTCGTTATATTCGTTCTAAATATATTGTCTCGAAAGCTCCAGGACCAAGAATATAAAATGAATAGTATCGTTCAAGATGTCTCGAATTATATATAGATAGATAGATAGATAGATATAGATATAGAGATATAGATATATAGATATATAAAACATTGAATTGACACTATTTTTGTATTGTTGTAAATTTGAAATTCAATTCATCCAGATATTTTTAAACTCCAAGGTAACTTTTGTAATTAATACTTCCCAATATACATTTGGTGGTCATACTTGAAGGAAAAAATTTTATATTGTGAATTCGCTATATATACTGAAAGAAATGTGTTATACGATATAAAAAATTACGATATAGTGAAGTAATTTCGCAGGTCCCAAATACTTCGCTCTAACAAAATGTTAATATTTATTCTAATGCAGCTGTTCTGTAAACTGCATTATTTTGTTTCGCTAGTGCAATGACTTTTAAGACAGACGATCAATAACAAAAGTGAACGTTTACAATTGTGGCATCATAATATAACAACTCAAAATCACAACGCTTTATAACAAATCTCTACTAAAAATATAATGTTCACATCAAACAAGATGCATAATTTGCATTACTAGAATAGGAATGACTATCTTCTTATCTTTTTATTTGCGACCGTTATGCTCATTGAACTGTCGCAAATAACAAGCGAGAAGATACTTTTTTCAAAAATTACTTAATTCTCGTTGTAATGCACCATTTGATTGGTTTGATAAATTTTGTTTATATCGTAAAACGCGCGTTCGCTACGTCTTAATATTTCACGTTAAAAAGGTGTTAATTCAATTGACGAAACACTAAAACTATGTACTACTTGAAGGGAGATTAATATTATTAATAAACAATTGATGATAGAAAATAAAATAAGGTTACAATTCAATATTTTTGCGAACCGCTTTGTGGCTTATGTAGCGTAAACTACTAGTAAAAAAAGTTTAACTTTTGGTGCTAATAGGTCCATTATGACGCCATAATTTAAACTTACTTTGTTCCAAATTTTTCTGGCTACATTAGTTATGTAGATAATAAATCGTTTTAATGGAATTCAATTTCATATCATGCGAATTGTAATCCCGATGTCTATATTGCATAAAATATTATTTTAAAGATAAGGACAAGAATACATGTATATAAATAACTGGTGTTTTTTGGTCAGTGAGCAATGAAACATTTCGTTGTTTTAAGTGAAAAACGCCTCCCATATTTAAATCTGATTTTTTTTTTTAAATTTTGAATTGAAAATGACAGTTTAATGTATACTGATTCTTAGAATTAACCTTAAACATAAGTTATGTTCCGATACACCTTGTTCTTTTTTTCTTTCAAATTATAGCTATAGATCATCATAAAAGGAACTCATCTTTCAAAGAAATCCATATGCACCTTTCATTTACTACGACCAAGACCAGAAAATCATACTATTCAATAAATGACATACCTAGTGATGTTTGATCATCATCATCGTTTCTTTCACGGAGTTCCCATACGGAACTGTGGGATACCAGACATAGACCCAGTACCCGGGCTAGGGTCCGTTAAGGGAGGCGTGGTGACAAGTATTCCACATACTATCACCTACAGAATTTATAGAAAATAACACACTTAAGGAAGCTCTTAACACTAATAGTTCACTCGGGGGGCCTCGGGCGGCTCACGCCTCGAACACTTACCTCGGACGAGAACGGTGTTCTACTATTTTGCTAATACAATTATGTGATCAAACTGAAATTTCTCTAAATATTTAACCTTAAGGTCACTTTGTGGTACGTCCAATACCATGTTTCTGCTTTCAAAGACTACTAGCAGAATGCTGTAATTAAAACAATTATACAAGAAAGAATTAAACAAGGTAGGAAACTCTTTTGGTGAACTTTATGGAGTGCAAAATATGAAATGAGTTAAGACAGATTTGATGCATATTCTTCCACCAATAACATCCGAGGTTTCTATGGAGCGCAGCATAGTCTGCCGAGGATTGCCGATTGCTAATAA